TGTCTCTACCTAAAACTAAAAAAACAAATATTAAAAAATTTAAAAATTAAAAAAAAATGGCTGGGAATATAGCTCAATTGTAAAGGGAGCTGAGTTCAATCCCAAGTACCACAACATGGGGATGGGAATGGGAGTAACATCAACAAAAATGAAATAAGAGGGAACTCTGAGTGTGGCCTGGCTAATGGTAAAGCACCCTGGTACCACCAACAACAACAACAAAATCCTGTCAGAATTAACTTTACAGAACTCTGGGAGACAAAAGTTATACCAAAGAAAATACCAGGAGAAAGTTGACTGAAACACTGTAGGAGATCTGGGTCCCATTTTAACTAACCTATTCAGAATTCATAAAAATGACAAAAAGTCTGAGACGTTATTAGAAATAATTCAAACAAAAGCTGTGTAAGGGCCTAACCGAGAAAACTTCTTCCATTTATAGAAGTTCATAAAAGTGAACTAAATGAGTAAATTTTCAGGCAGGGGGTAGCGGAGGTTACTGGGGACTGAACCCAGGAGAGCTTAACCACTGAGCCATATCCCCAACACTTTATATTTTGTTATTTTGAGACAGGGTCTCACTAAGTTGCTTAGGACCTCACTAAGTTCCTAAAGCTGGCCTTGAACTTACAATCTTTCTGCCTCAATCTCTAAAGTCAGTGGGATTATAGGTGTCTGCCTCCTGTACTCAACTTTTAAAAATAGGAAAAGTCAGGTTGGCAAACGTGCCCATTTTCCCAATATTATCTACAAGATTAATGTAATTCCAATCATAATTACCAAAAAAAAATATATAAGTCAACTTGTTAAGCCAACCCTCAAATTTATTTAAGATGAAAGGGCTAGAGAAAATGAGATGAAAAAGAACAAGGTTAGAAAGCTACAAATGATTACTTAAATTTAAAAACCTAAAAATAACTGGGCTGGGATTGTAGCTCAGTGGTAGAGCACATGCCTGGCATGTGAGAGACACTGGGTTCAATCCTCTTAAAAATAAAGTTATTATGTCCATATACAACTAAAAAAATAAAAATAAAAATTAACAAATTTTAAAAAGTAACTAAAAGGAATATGGAAGGAACAAGGTAGTAGAGACATTAACAGAATAAACACAAGACTTCTCCTTGCCCTATGTTTTTTTTTTTTAGTTGTAGATGGGCACAATACCTTTATTTTATTTATTTATGTGGTGCTTAGGATCTCAAACCCAGGATATCAAACATGTGAAACAAGCACTCTACCACTGAGCCACAACCCAAGCCCTCTCTTTGCTTTTTATATTTGTTTTATATATATATACTTTAATATAATTGGTTTTTATATATTTGACTTTCTAACCATGTAAATATTTTATATAATTATAAAACAAAAGCTATACCTAAAAAGCAAAAGCAAAATAAAACAAATAAAGTGAATCATTTATCAGTTTGTAGCTTAACCAAAGAGAAATTACTTCTAGTTATTTTAAAGCACAATAATTGGACTAAACTTCCCTAGAGGGATCTACCCTTATAACAATAGATCTATAAAGAAATGTGAGCCAGGCACGGTGACACAGGAGGCTGAGATAGGAGAATCACAAGTTCAAAGCCAGCCTCAGCAATTTAGCAAGGCCCTAAGCAACTTAGTGAGACTCCGTCTCTAAATAAAATACAAAAGAGGGACTGGGGATGTGGCTTAGTGGTTGAGTACCATTTTAACTAACTGACTCAGGTTAAATTCAATCCCTAGTACCAATAAAAAAAAAAAAAGTAAAATTATTTTTAGTAGGAATGTTAAGCACTGATAAAGTTGTTCTGAAACTTTACTTTTTTGGACCAGGGATTGAACCCAGAGGCGCTTAACTGCTGTGTCACATCCCCAGCCCTTTAAAAAATTTTTTTTTTAATTTTGAGATAGTGTCTTGCTAAGTTGCTGAGGCTGGCTTTGAATTTGAAAACCTCCTGCCTGATTCTCTGGAGCTGCTGGGATTATAGGCATTCCCCACTAAACCTGGCCTGAAACTATTTATTTATACATACATATATGGATGGATAGGTAAGCAAATAAAAGATACAAAAACAATACCAAAGTTAAAATCCTGCAATTCTAAATTTTAAATAATAGAAAGAACAGTATGAACTCATATCTATTTTGTTAAGAATATATTTCCTGCTATAAGATTAATGAACCCATGACAAGTGAAAGAAGCCTGTCCAAAAAGGTTACATGATTGTCTGACTTCATGCATTATGAAATGTTTGGAATATGCTAAAGAAATGTAAAGGAACAGAAGGCAGATTATGGTTGGTTAGGCTGGGTGGGAATGAGGGAATATTATGGGAATAACTGCTAATGAGTACAATGTCACTTTTAGCAGAGACAAAAAAATGCTCTAAAATTTTATTATGGTGATAGTTTCACAGCCCTGTGTGTGTATGTATGTATATATACATATGTGTGTGTGTGTGTGAATGTGTGTGTATGTATGTATATATATATATATATATATATACACACACACACACATACATACACACACATTCACACACATATGTATATTTTTTAATGGAATTGTATACTTCATTTATTTAGGTACTGGAAATTGAAACCAAGGGAGCTCTACCACTGAGCTACATCCTCAGCTAGCTTGCTTGCTTATTTATTTATTTATTTATCTCTATCCATCTATTTATCTATCTATCTATCTATTTATTTATTTATTTATTTGTACCAGGGATTGAACTCAGGGGCACTTGACCACTGAGCCACACCCCCAGCCCTATTTTGTATTTTATTTAGAGACAGGATCTCACTGAATTGCATAGCACCTCACTTTTGCTGAGGCTGAATTTGAACTTGTGATCCTCCTGCCTCAGCCTCCCAAGCCACTGGGATCGTAGGCATGCCATATCGTGCCCCACTTTTATTTTATTTTTTATTGATTAAAAAAAATGATAGCGGAATGCATTACAATTCTTATTACACATATAATACAATTTTTAATATCTCTGTTTGTATATAAAGCGTGTTGACACCCAATTTGTGTCTTCATACTTGTACTTTGGATAATGATGTGTATTACATTCCACCATCCTTGCTAATCCCCTGCCCCCTCCCTTTCCCTCCCACCTCTCTGTCCTATCTAGAATTCATCTATTCCCACTTTTATTTTTTATTTTGAGACAGAGTCTTGGAATTGTCTACTTTAAATGGGTAAAATGTGTATGAATTATATCTTAATTAAACTGTTAAAAAAAAAAAGAAAATATTTCTTAGCTCTGTTCACACAAGCACACAAAAATTAGAAATAATAGTAAGGGGCTGGGGTTGTGGCTCAAGCGGTAGCGCGCTCGCCTGGCATGCGTACGGCCCAGGTTCCATCCTCAGCACCACATACAAACAAAGATGTTGTGTCTGCCTAAAAACTAAAAAATAAATATTAAAAAATTCTCTCTCTCTCTCGCTCTAAAAAAAAATAATAATAGTAATAAGCACTACAACTGTGGGCTTTTAAATTTTCTTTCTTTCTTTTTTTTTTTAGTTCTGGAAAAAAAAAAGAAACAATACCTTCATTTTATTTATTCTTTTTTGTTGTTGTTGTTTTTTAATGTGGTGTTGAGGATTGAGCCTAGTGCCTCACACATGCCAGGCAAGTGGTCTACCACTGAGCAATAACCCCAGCCCTATAACTGTGGTCTTAAAATACCATTTCCCACTAAAAGAAATCAAGGTACCACACAAAAAACTGATTTCATGCCTCATGCAGGAAATGTTCCAAATGATCCAGGGTCTCCTGTCATAACAGAAATGTAGGACACTAGGCTGGAGTTGTAGCTCAGTGGTATAGCACTTGCCTAGCATGTTTGAGGCAGTTGGTTCAATTCTCAGCACTGCAAATAAATAAAATAAAGGCACACTGACAACTAAAAATATGTGTGTGTGTGTGTGTATATGTGTGTGTACCAAAACGAAAATAAATGCAGGACACTATCAAAGACTATTGGGGATGTGTTCAAAGGACTCAGAAGCTATTTTGAAGAGTGAACAAAGATGAGGAATATGAGCTTCAAAACCAAAGTAACTGTGGGGTTGGGGTTGTGGCTTAGCGGTACAGCACTTGCCTTGCATGTGTGAGGCACTGGGTTTGATTCTCAGCACTGCATAAAAATAAATAAACAAAATAAAGGTATTGTGTCCACCTACAACATATATATATATATATATATATATATATATATATATATATATATATATGAAAGGAACTGTAAATATTTGAAACCACATAAAAGATGTTAAAATTGATGAATATATAATGGTAATAATAAGACTAAGAGATGAGAGGAACAAATTCAATATCCCAAAACCCTACAAATAGAAAGAATCCATTTATTCTCTCTTGCACATACAGTGCAGAAGAGTGAGTAAAAGCTGATGAAGGAAATTTTTCTGACAATTAAATGAACCAGGAATGACAATTCAAATATCCCTGGATTATTGCAATAGTTTCCTAACTTGTCTTTCTGCTTCTTGCCTTTCTCCCTCTCTACCCTTTCTTCATTTTTTCTCCAGTAGTCCATTCTCACCAGAGCAGACAAAGCACTACTCATAAAGTGTAAACAGATAATGTAACTCCCATGCACAACTCTCCAACAGCTTCCCATCAAAGCCAAAATCACTACTACGTTCCATAGGCCAAACCTGATCTGCCCTCCTCTCCACTTAGATTTCATCTCTCTTTTCCCCCAACTCTCCCCACTTCATGTGCTTTATTTAAACCACAAGCATGTTGCCACCTCAGGATTTTTATAACTCTTATTCCCTTTGCATGTGATAACCTTTCTAAAGTTATACACATAAATTGTTCCTTTACATCTTTATTACTATCTTTTTAAGATGCTTTCTTTGACTGCCCCCATCTAAAACACTAATTCCCATCTCTAATTCTAAATATGCTCCCACATTATATTTTCTCTTAGCATTTTTCACCATTTAATAAATTTTATATTTAACTTACTTACCTTGTTTATTATCTGGCCCACAACAGCGTAAGTACCATGATATCAGGAGGTTTGTCTCTTGTTCACGCTTATATCCCAAGCACCTAGGATTTGTGCCTGCTACACAGCCAGCATTCAATACATGGTGAGTCTATGAATACTCCTTAATACAAGAACAACTCTGAAAAAGAAATTTGAAAAGAGAACACTACTTCAGAAAACATATAATTCACACACAAAGATTTTTAAAAATGCTTAACTTCGATAGTAATCAAATATGTGAAAATTAAATTTCTATAGCAAAATAAAATTGTAACTATGAGGTTAACAAAGATTACTATTATTTATAATATCTATTGTTATCATGAGTGTGGGGATACAGGCAGTCTTATACTATGACAATAATAATGCATATTATTGGACTCTTACATTGGGAATAATTGGAGAGATTTAGGAATTCTTTGGGACATATATTTTGATCTATTAATTCCACTTCTAGGAACCTACCCACCCCTCAAAAAAAAATAATGAATAAAAAAGAGCACTGGGCTGGGGTTGTGGCTCAGCGGTAGAGCACTCGCCTAGCACATGTGAGGCCCTGGGTTCGATCCTCAGCAACACATAAAAACAAATAAACAAAATAAAAGTATTGTGTACAACTAAAAAATAAATATTTAAAAAAATAAAAAGAGCACTATGAAGCTGGGTGCAGTGGCCCATGCCTGTAATTCCAGGGGCTCGGGAGGCTGAGGCAGGAGGATCCCAAGTTGGAAGCCAGCCTCAGCAACAGTGGGGCTCAGTGAGACCCTGTCTCTAAATAAAATACAAAAAAAGGGCTGGGGATGTGGCTCAAAGTTGAGTGCCCCTGAGTAGTTTAATCCTTGGTACCAAAAAAAAAAAAAAAAAACCACTATGAAATGTGCCAAATAGCTCCTAATAAGCAAAGTGTTGATAACACTTTGCAAGAAGTTGAAAGATCCAAACTACCCAACAGGGATAAATGTATTGAAAGGTATTAAAAAAAAAAAACTAAAATGAGGGCATAAATTTGTAATAGTTTAATGTAAAGACACTAATGATGTATTGTTAAATGAGAAAGTAGGTTATAGAGTGTGTATGTATGCTTGCAATATTTAAGTCATTATGCACATATGTAAAAAGAGAAATGCATGCCTATGTATTCACAAAGAGTAGGGCAAAAAGATGGTTAATAAATGTTGGCAGTGGTAGTGAAGCTGGTAGAATTATGAATGATTTTTATTCTCTGAGGTTTTCTGTATTTTGAGATTTGGGGAGTGGAGGGGAATAAGGAAAATGAATTTCGCACGTACATAAATCATCTAATATATGAAAACAAGGCTAAAAATAATAAAATATTCAAGTGTTGGGGCTATTGATGTTTCATATAGAAATACACTTCCAATTACCAAAACGAAACAAATGCAGCACCCGTTCAGTCTCATCTACCGACAAAACCCGACCCTACCTTCCATCCTCGCAGTGTCTCATTCACTCTCGATCCCACAGTCACGCATGTTCGCAGCCAGGGTCACAACTAAACATAAAAGGGAAAGCGTAATACCAATCACAGCACGCCATGCGGTCACGGTCCTTCACACGCCACTGCCATGGTCCCAGGGAACCAACCGCACAGGCATCGCCCCTCACCGCGTTCCTCTTCCAACCACACCTGCGCGGGTCCGCAGGCCCCTACTCCCACCCAGCACAAAGAGTCCCAGGCTCCATGCTCCAGGGTTTCCGAGGACTCACCACCCAGCCCACTGACACAGGCCGCGACTCCACTATCCAGCGCCGCCCAAGTGGCACGGCCCGCGAGGGGTATGATAGGGAGCCACCGAGGTCAGCGGTGGCGGTGGCAGTGGCGGAGAGCAATACAAGCCCAGATCCGTTAGATACGGGGTAACACTTCCCAGAGGACCCCGCGGCTCACCCCTGCAGGACTGGTCTTCCTATTTACAAGCTGTGTGAATACAAACGGCCGCATTTAAGGGCACGCGGCTCCGCGCCAGAGGATCATCTTGAGGTTTTGTGGGAGCTGCCTCCCTTGAAACCCATTCTTAAGAGCCTGGGAGCGCAACTAGATACTGAGAAGAATCTGAAGAGGTCCGCCGCTTTCTTACTGAAGACTACAGCTCCCAGAAACCTTCGCGGCACAACACTAGTTTCTGTAAAAAGTCACTTCCTCTTTACGTCGGCTGGATCGGCCTATTGGAGGCGTTAGGCTATCTGGTCCGTGAGAGCCCCGCATCTCAGTCAGTTTAGTTCCGTCTGGTGGGGGCTCCGCCCTAGACTGATATGCTCCTTTGAGGTGAAGGTAGGGAAAGATCTAGGGTTCTTGGAGGCTCGGTCGGTCTGAGCGTCAAGCTTCCAGCGGCACTATGAAGAAGTGATGTAATATGTAATGTGTGAAACTTCGGCCACGGAATTTGGGGTGTGGCGAATTTTGAGATTGTGTGTATTTACAGTCATATGTGTGACGCAATGGTCGCGTCATATGTTCTCGTCACTGACCTGCAACATGGTCGGAAACGGTATTTGGTTTTCTTTTTCTTCCCCGCGATCCCGGTGCTGGAGATGGAACCCAGGGCCTCACACAATGGTAGGCATGCGCTCTACCGCTGAACTACATTCCTAGTCCTATAAATAGTTTTATTTTTACCCAGGATCTTACTAATTTGCCCAGGCTGGCCTCGAACTTGGCATCCTCCTGCCCCAGCTTTCTCAGTAGCTGGTATTACAGGCGTGCTCCACCTAACTCGGCTGAAATGATATACTTTGGTCTATTCTTTCCGAAATCCTGGATTGTATCCGTGACAGTGTTACTGGACTGATGACCTGAAATTGTGCATGATTGATGGAGTAGTGTCTCCAGACTATTTGGATTCTAAACAGACTCAGCCATTTACCAGCAGTGTGACTTTGGACTAACTAGTTAAATTCTCTGCCTTTGTTCTTAATAGTCTTAATTAAGAGAAAATAGTAACTCCCTCAAAGGATTTCAGTGAGAATTGAAAGGGTTCATTCGGGTAAAGCTGTTTCCAAGAGTGACAATTCAAGTATAACAGTTTTTATATGAGGCCAGAGATTTACAGATCTCATCAGGAGTTTAGATCAAATCAGAAATTTAGACCTCAGTCAAAACGCAAAGTAGGCTCTTTGAGAAGAAAAGAGGCTCAAATATCAGGAATTCTCATTTCCCCCAGTCGAGATTTTACACTGGAACTCCTACATAAGCCTAATGAACTTTAGAACATACAGTACTTCCAGTCCAAAGTGCTCCTCAGTATGCTGCTGTGAACTTGGGGAAGAATGGAGTCCCACAGAGTAGAGAGCCTGAACTTTCTCTTTCACAATAAGGAACAAAATGGTTTTAATCTCTCTTTTAATGCAGGTGGTTGGATGTGGAGCACACTGTCTGAGTTGTTCTGTTATAAGTGAAGACCTGGTGTCTCATGACTCCTACTTCCTTCCTCAGCTCTGCTTTTCTCCAAGAAAAGTGTTAGTGTTTCCTATTTTTCTGTTTCATTTTTTTAATTAAATTAATACCATTAAGACCTGCTTGTATTTCAGGACATAACATTTCCTATATTTTTAAAAATGTAATATTGTTTATTTAACTTCAAAAACATTTCAGCATTCTAAACATACAAAAAAATAACATAACATTGCAAATTGCATTTAAGTACAGAAGGTTCTTGAACTTTGATGCAGTGGCTCTTTGCTGACAATGAAGAGTTCTACAGTTTGTTTGAAAACAAAGTTTAAAATCTACTGTACTTAACTAAAAAAAATTTAAATACTTCTCATGCCAGCTGACCCCTCCTTTTTCTACAACTAACAAAGGCAGCAGAATGCTATATCACTACATACAAAATAAAACAATGTGAAGCTAAATGGATGCCCACCACAGTGTCAACAGGTCCAGCCTCACAGTGCACATCCTGAGCTACGGCCCCTCCAAAAGGCATCTTCCTGAACAGCCTCAACGCTAGGCAAGGAGCATCAAGAATTTGTCTTGGTTGTTTTGTTCTTTTTCAGACTATAGATACGTACAGTTGATAACTGAGGACTTCTAACCAATAACCATATACTTAACACCACCTTACAAATTTTTTAAAAAGTGCCAGAAACATCTTCAAATGCCTTGTTACACCAACAGCAAAATGCATAGAGTGAGGAGAACCCGAGAGTGCCTTTTCATTTTAAAAATGTTTGGAAATATGTACAACTTTGATACAGTTTTAGGGTGCTCTGGACCCCAGGGCACTTAATGTAAACCACTGACAATTTCTAGAGCACTTTGAGAGACTTTACTATCGTGATCAAATTCTGAAATTAAACCTAATGAGAGTAACAGACACATCTCACATAAGATGTGTCAATCACGGTGCTCCCCTACTCTAAGGTATTCACAAGGAGAAGGATAAACAGTTTTTTATTCATCTTCCTTCTCCTCCTCTTACACTTTTTTCCAGGCAACTTTAGCAGGACCCTTTGAGCCATCAAACTTTCCTTTAGACTTATAGTCAGCAACATCCTTCTCGTATTTCTCCTTCAGCTTTGCGGCCTTAGTGATGTATGGCTGCTTTTTGCTGCCACTTAAGTTATTCCACATCTCACCCAGCTTTTTTGCCACATCTCCAATGGAGATACCAGGACTTGTGGACTTGATCTTGGGGTGGAAATCTGAACAGAACAGGAAGAATCCAGATGGTGGTCTTTTGAAGGCATTGGGGTCCTTTTTCTTCTTGCCTCCCTTAGCTGGTTCATAATCCTTCATTTCCCGATTATAGCGTACTTTATCCACCTTTGCCATTTCATCAAATTTAGATTTCTCTTTCCCAGACATTGTCTTCCACCTGTCAGAGTAATACTTGGAAAATTCAACAACATTGACAGGAACTTCTGGATTTTTCTTTTTTTTTTTCAAAACTTTTTAAGTTCTGGTTGGACACAATACCTTTATTTTATTTATTTTTATGTGGTGCTGAGGATCAAACCCAGTGCCTCGCAAGGGCTAGGCCAGCGCTCTACTGCTGAGCCACAACCCCAGCCCTTGTGGGTTTTTCTTCTTATGTTTTTCTTCTTATGTTCTTCTCTCAAAGTCTACACAAAGAAGGCGTAAGCAGACATCTTGCCCTTTGGTTTCTTGGGGTCACCTTTAGCCATCCTGACTAGTCTGGGCAGCACAGGGCACAATGGGTGGCTCAGCGCTCCCCAGCCTCATGCTGGCTGTCTCCATGAGAGCCGCATGACATTTCCTATATTTTAAAACTTGGGGCAGATAGTGATTCATTTAGGAGTTTGTTCCCTGTCCTTCCTATACCCAGTTTGCTGTGGGCACTGTTTTTAAGCTTAGGAACATTCCTTCTGGTATATCATAGTTTATACAACACAGCCTGATGTTTCAGATTCCTTTTTTTTTTAAAAAATTGTCCTAAATCATATTTTATGGCCAGGCACGCCTGTAATCTGGGCGATTCCACAGACTGAAGCAGGAGGATCACAAGTTCAAAGCCAGCCCCAGCACCTTATCGAGGCCCTAAGCAACTTAGTAAAACCCTGTCTCAAAATAAAATGTAAAAAGGACTAGGGATATGGCTCAGTGGTTAAGTACCCTGGGTTCAATCCCTGGTATCAAAAAATTAAAAAAAAATCATACTTTATGGAATTTCCCTTGAATATATATGTTTCAGCATATGTACAGTTATTTCCATAGTCTCATTTCTGAAAATGGATTCTTTAGCTCAAATATGAGAAATCTAGGAAGGTCAAAGCCCTGTGTCAGGAGATTTTAGAGGCATTCAAAAGTAAAGTAGACACATTTGCAATCTGAAATTATTATAGCCCAGTAAGAAAATGAAATGTAAATACACTGGAAATTCACTCCAAATCCATGAGAGTAAAAGTTTATTTTGCTTCAACTACTATTTGAAGACCTGTCCGGAGCTGCTCTGGATGCAGATAACCTTCAATTCCTGATCCTGGGGGTTCTGACTAATTACTACATTTCGTAGTGACTTGAGCATTGTCCCAGCTCTGATAGCAAGGCATAAGCATGCCCAAGGGGGTTGAGCTACACTCACCTATTCCTTTGTAATCCTACCCCTTGCCTCATTTGAATGGCTTCTCCCCAATTAAAAAAAGGGGGGGTTCAACATGTGCTTTCTCTTTCTTTTTTTCACGGACCCCTAAGGTCAGAGGAGCCATCACAAGACCCAATAAAACAGTACCCCACTTCCAAAAGGTAGTGTTTCTGAGCTAGATGTTCACCTGAGTCCTTAGTTGGGAGAGCCCTGCACCCCAGGACACCATAAAAAAAGTCCAAAAAAGGTTGGGGTTGTGGCTCGGTGGTAGAGTGCTTGCCTAGCATGTGTGAGGCACTAGGTACAATTCTCAGCACCACATTTAATTAAATGAATAAAATAATGTCCATCAACATCTAAAAATAAGTTTAAAAAAGTCCAAAAGTCAGAAGCTTAAACTTCATTTTCCCAACAAGCTTCTTCAAGGATTATTTTTGTTCATTGTTCTCTAGAAATTCAATGGGTTTAACTGGATTAAGATGGGGGAAAGCAAAGTGCTATGGGAAACAAGAATATCCTCACTCCTGGGATGCTTTTTGTCTATGGGTGGTAAATAGAAGCAAAGCTATTATCTTTCTAATTTTATTACTACATTTCCTCTTTATACTGCTCTATTTCATGAACATAAGCTTAATCCTTTCTTAATTCTAGTGGTGGAATACAATTTTCTTCTCTCTATATAACTGATTCTTCTATTATACCTTTATTTTTCCTACCATTCCTATTTTTAAAAAAACATTTTTTAGTTGCAGCCCAGAATGGTGGCGCACATGCATGTAATCCCAGTGGCTTGGGAGGCTGAGGTAGGAGGATTGCAATTTTAAAGCAAGCCTCAACAAAAGCAAGGTGCTAAGCAACTCAGTGAGACCCTGTCTCTAAAATATAATTCACAAGAGGGCTGGGGGTGTGGCTCAGTGGTATAATGCCCCTGAGTTCAGTCCTTGCTAC